AAGTTTTTCTTTTTGTGTTTTCTATGAATTATTTTTGTACGTGTCAAACACTGTTCTTACACTAATTGTCACACCCCCGTGAGAGCAGTTGAATACAAAGAAGGAGCTTTACAGGTTGGTAGCATATTTTCTTAAATATTCATCAACTTGATTGCGTTCAAATTTCTTTGCTGGTAGCATAAATGGACAGTATGGGTGACCACATGAATAATATGATATTCTTTTTTGTCAAAGGCAACTTTTCATTCAAAGAGAGGCAACCAAAATAGGCGAGAAACACGGAGGACATGAATAACACGGTTTTGGAATGCGATTTTTATTTTATTTTAAATACAAGCAAATGAGGAAGAGGAGTTTACACAAATATTGATTGGATGCCTCAGAATTTCGAACCTTTTGCCCACATAAATGAAGGTGGAAGCCCTCAACCAACTGAGTTATATCCCATTGGATTGGAATGCGAATTTAAGTGAGAAACATGTAGGAGCCGCTATTTTTTTTTAAATTAAATATTTATTTAACCAAGCGGCAGAACTTTGGTGTTTATATCTGAAGAAATTTTTGTATATGGCTTTATTAATTGTTTTAGAAATTATATGGTGTTTTTTTTTTCCCTTTCCGAATCACGGCATAGGCATTCTCATCTCACGTGTGTATTAACAAAATTCAGATTAGCTGCACGTTTTTATGACAACATAAAGTTCTTTGCTGAGATCAAGTGTTGCTGGAGATAAACATTACAAGAGAGAAAAAAAGGAGAGAGAGACGGAAAAACGAAAGCCAAACCAGTATTTCCTTCTTATTCCATGAAAGGCAAGGCAAGGCAAGATCAGCTTAGCAACAGAAGACAGCACTTCATACATTTGGAGGTGGCCAAATTTTCTCAAATAATTCCTCAACTCGATTTGCTTGATTAGCATAACCATCCAGTCCACTGGCCAGAAGCTCCACGGCTGCAGGTCCCACAGCCGATGCAAAGCTTAATTGGTCCCACTTGACAAGCTGGACACAAGGAGAAGATTGGTTAACAAATCTAAAACCAAAAACATTTTGATCATCTTTTCAGAATGGATTTACATCAGAGAGGTCTGTCAATTTGAACCAATAACTATTTTGGACAGGCATATGTATATAACTGATTTAAATTAGTCTTAAACCCAATCATTCTACAACTTCAATTCCAATCATAGCCATCCCTGTTTGGTTGAGCAATGAGAAATTACTCTTGACACACAGCAAAAGAAGCTTTCTTATTCACCAATTTTACTTTTTCAGAAAGGCTATAACAAAACCGTGCTTGGTACAATACTGGGCAAAAAAAGAAACACAATACTTCTCATACTAGGGAGCAGAGTCTCTGATTTTGGTGATTGTGATTACCACATGGACCACCTACGTAGTGTGTGCGTGCGCGAGCGAGTGTGTGGGGCATGAGTCCAATATCAGTCCCATGCGGACTGTACATCTATAGAGGGTCTAGGCCTAACAATGCATCGAAGAGAATTTCCTCCTACATGAAATCAGAAAGCATGCACACACATGGCCTTTAGCATGAAAAGTATGGTGATTATACTAAAAGGCCAATGGTATTGGGTGGTGACTTGGAAACCAAGGCATAAAAAACGAGACATCTGTTGAAGTGGTTGTAGTGGCCAGATGGTTGTATGCTAATGCATGACAAGGCAGATGATGGAAGTAGTGATGTGCCTGGTGCCAAACATGGATATGATTTTTATTTTCTGATGAGAGGTAGTGACGCTCCTATCAACGGGATAGACAATGATGGTGCAGCCATATTGGTGATTCTAGAGGTTTGAAGGAATTCCATCTCCACGATTCATTGAAGTTCTAGTAATAATGATGACGCCTAAACTATTAAGCTTTGCTTCCAAAATGAAAGACTTTCAAACTTTACGATACTGTCATGAGTAACTAAGCACGCTCATCACAAGTTGGCAGGTTTTATTAATACTAATAGCTGAGAAAAAAAGGGTTAATACTTAAATATTTAGTCCTTTTGGCATTCTTCCTTTTTCTTTTCTTTTTTCTTTTGGCATTCAACATGTCTACTTCTCAAAAAATAGAGGCACTCATTATTTTACAACTATTTGGCTTTTCACATAGCTCTATCAAAACTGGCACCCTTTTGTCCTTGCCACATGAAATAAGAGATTAAAATTTAAGTACGAACAGCACTACACACAACATGCAGGTGAACCTGTTAACCTGAGTAATCATTTTGCTTCATGTATTATTTTTTCATTTTATTTGAAATTTCATTTTATTTTTTTCATTCCTGATGCAGAATAAAATATATTGAGCACAGGACAGAAAGCAGACCTCTTCTTCATCGAACTTGTAGATGGCAGCAGATTGTGGAGATAGCCTCCTGACGAAAGAATACTTCTCTTCAGGGGTAGTGATTGATTCTTTGAGTGACTGCAATACCTTCAGTGGTGCAATGATGTAGTCAACCCTGAACATGTACCAGACAACATAAGCAGGAAGATCGTTCCTTGAGTTGAGTCTTGTTGGAAATTCCCAGATACATAAGATTAAAAGGTGAGTCATATGAATTTACCCCAAGAGACTGAACAAATCCTGCTTATTCCGAACTGCTGCTGCCATTAACTTTGATTTATGTCCATATTTGTGGATGTAGTTATATGCCTTTGTCACCTGTAATGTCAAAAAGCATCTCATACGGGAACATTTTATATTCATTACTATCCTTTACGAAAGCTCTAGTGTCACCTGAGAAATTCAAGGCATAGCCAGAAGTTAAAGCATCTAACAGACTCTAGTCAGTGATGGGGAAAGAAAATGTTAGAATAAATTATTTAGGCTCATTCCTAATGGTTGTCAGATTTTAGGATATAAAACAATACTGGAAAAACAAAAAGTAAAAACCAGTTTATATTTCGTAATTGCTTGCAACTGAGATGCATCTAGAGGTCAAAAATCAAAAATCAAAACTCAAAACAGAGTGGTCCTGTTCAAGGACCACAACAAACAACAGTACATAATCACAAAACCACAAGATGAGAACTTTCCAACTTACCAAGGCTAACCCAGGATCCTCCCCTCTCTTGAGAGCAGCTTCTATCTCAGGGTCACCAGAATGGTTGCGAGACCAATCCTGAATGATAAATTTGACCTTTAGCGGTTACAATAAACTGAAGTTGAACTAAATAAAAATTCCATTATTACGAATGTGAAAATACATTACCCTAAGACGGCCAACAAAAATCTGAATAACAGAAGCGCCGGCTTGGGCTGCAGCTGCAGCTTGAGCAAAGCTGAAGAAAAATGTTCAAACCATCACCAAACACAACTAAAAAATTAAAATGAATTTGTCTTAGAACAGCATTGTGTGTGTGTGTGTGTGGAGACACATATAGAGAGAAAAAAGAGAGAGGGAGTCATGAGAAGTACAAAGTTGAACTTGAACAGCAGATATAATGGCAAAGTAATGTTCATAAATCACAGATGACCAAAATCACAAAGCAGCATTCTGATTTGTTGTTCATAAATCAAAACCTAATAGCTTCTGCCTCAGCATTTTAGATTGATATACAAGCAAATTTCAATGCCACAATAAGAAAACATGTAATTCTAACTACAATGGCTCCTTTAGACATCGGCAGGATCATGGATTTGAACTTTCAAAACAAAAGCAAGCTAAATCAACAAAGTTTTACAATTCATGAGAAACAATTGTATTGCCAAACCAAGAAGGAAGGGGGAATGGGAAAGGGAGAGGGAGAGGGAGAGGGAGAGGGAGAGGGAGGGAGTGGGTATCGTAAAACTTTATCCTCTATTACAACTGTATAAAACTGTGCCCTTATAGAAGTTAGTAGTACAACATCAAGTCTAAGATTTCAAACCGGTTTGTCAAGCTTACACCAGTTAATTACAAGAGCTTTACCTGTACACAAATGTCAAATGTGTCTGTATGCCCTCAGATTCTAGTAATCTTGAAGCTTCAATTCCCTGAACAGAAAACCAACAATCGGTGAGCAACAAAATGATGCAAAACAATCGCCTCACAACAGGCCTGAGAAATTGTCATCAAGTCCACTCAGAATATTCACAACAGGCCTAATTATCTCTGACACTTACTTGCCAAGTTGAAGGAATTTTGAACAACAAACGCTCAGGAGGAACATTAACTTCATTGTACAACTTCAGCAAGTCATGCACCTGCATATTAGATAAACCAATTGTATCAGACTGCAACGAAAGAGATAGCAAATAATCTAGTGATATCAGGGAGAAAACGATATACCTTAGGAAAATAAGCAAACCAATTGTATCAGACTGCAACGAAAGAGATAGCAAATAATCTAGTGATATCAGGGAGAAAACGATATACCTTAGGAAAATTAGCAAAAAAATACTGGCACTTAAAATTTGTGGGCACTAAAATTAATAAAGTACACAACCGTAAGAAAATGCAACAAAATTTCAGTATCATTTTTTTCTCACACATTTTCTGCAAGACTATTAAATTTAGTTACAAACTGTCAAATTTAGTCATATTATAGGCGTTTTAGAACTTTAATGCAAAACTATTACACCAGCCATGACAAGTATAGCTCAATAAAATAAACAACATGACAAAAATTATCAAGATTATCATTAACAAAAGTCATATAGTTGCTTGAAAAACAATCAAGAATAAGATGAATGCATACACAGTTAAGATAGAAACCAATAAATTGTTCTTGAACATCAGCATTTACAGTATGTTTAATTTTCGTGTAATGTATTAGCATTTTCTTTAACTAGAAAATATAAGACAGGATTACCAGGTAGAAACGAATACCTTTCTGATAATGCCATGCGTGTCATAAGCAAGACGTGCATCCACCTCAGTAGACACTCGGCCAGGAACTAGTTTCGCCAAATCACCACCAACATTCACTAAAGCCTACACACGCATAACTAAATTTTGAACAATATGATCAATCTAACAAGGCATAGGTATTTCTAATGATAAGATACAAGAAAACCAACCTTGTTACTGAAACATGACAATCTCAATTCGGAGTTTTCATGCTTATTGCACTCTGAATCCGCCAATGCCATATCCACAGCATTCTACACCAAAGAAAAATTAATCAGAAAACACAACATGTAGTCCCATATTGAAATTGGAAAGCACATGTAATTTCTTATTTATTTTTCGAAAGATTTCTTCCCCAATGGAAGATTGAGCGCTTACTCTGAATATGGTGTCAGGGAGGCTACATATACCCAAGAGCAGGGAAGAGCTCACTGTAGCAGCGGTTGGAGGAAACCTATTCATAAATAATCAGTAAACAGCCAAAAGTAAAAATTTAGAAATAATCCTTCATGAAACCGTGCAAAAATATGAAATAAATGAAATTTTAAACAATATGGATATGCTACTTTATTACTCTGAGTTTCTGTTGCTACCAAACTAAAATCTAAAAAAAGTAAATGAAGATTAGATCAATTCTGATCATTAAGCAAAGACATTATTATCAGTTCAGAAGAAATTCTGATTCATAATTTATAGCATGATCATGAAAATTTCAAATTCCACTTTTACAAAAACAAGCAAAAGAAAAAGATAATATATTTAGATACCTCTCGAAGTCATCGAAAATGACGGTGTCTGGAACGATCTCACTGAAGCTAGAGACGAGGTCCAATTCAGTGGTTGAACCTGAAAATCCAATTCAACCAAAAACGTAAAAAATGAAAATGAAAAAAATAAAATAAAATAAAACAAGAAGCAGAGCTGAGCATTGAGACACTGAGACAGAAAGCTCACTGACCGGTGTCGAGAGAGGAGGCCCGAATGACAGGAAATGATCGCTGGAAGTTGAAGAGCAGATTGGAAGCTGGAGATCCATTGGAAAACCTCAGCCTTGTTCCCTGCTATGATTAATTTTGAATGTAAAACAAAATTTAAAAAAATTCAAAGTTTACAGCTCGTACAGCAATAGTTAGCGAAGCAGAGGTGAGAGAGAGGAGAGAGAGATAGAGAGTATTGAGTGCACCTGGAAAGAGGAGACAGCTGAGGAGGGCGGAGATTGCAAAGAGACTGACATTTTTGGGCTTCGCTCGAAATCGGTAGCAGTTGGAAGTTATTTGGGCGGATCAGCGAGACATGTTTTTATATGTACACACCTCATCCTCTGTTTCCAAAACAAAAACACCTCATCCTCTGAATTTTAATGATGCTTTTCTTTTTTGTTATGGACATTTTCACTTTGTCTATGTAAAAACATGTTACATGCAAGGAAAATGTTTTACAACCTTGTCTTTTTAGAAAGAAGACTGTCCTAAGTTGGAAGTATCCATCTCTATTGATATAGGAAAAGGAAAAAAAAAAATATTGTGGAATCCATTTAAGACACGCGTTATGTTATTATCGATATATTACGTGATGTAATAAATTTATATATATCATCACATGCATATTGTATGTTACATTGTGTAAATAGCGTTACACCTTGCACAATTTCAAAATCGAGCTTTGAATTGGGGTAAATGATGTCTAGAGCTTTGCTTTAATAAATAGTTTTGAAGATAATATATAAAAAAAGGTACTTCATAAGAAGTCGGATAATGGATATAGATGGATAATAACAAGGACGATCATTTGAGGTATTTTTTAGTTGAGAGAGAGAGACCGGATATAGGGACAAGACAAGTCCTATTGTATTCTCCGCTAGGCAAGTATTGGGAGCTTGTGTTTTGTTTTGCGACCCCATTTGATTGTTTTTTATGAAGTACAATGGGCCTTTGCAAAGCTTCCAAGTTATTTCAGTATTGGGTTAAGTGATCAAGTCCAAAATGCCAACCAAGTGTGGTACAAATTTACAAAACTGAGAAATTGGATTGCTGCCTTGCTGATCTTTCTAACAAAAAAAACTGTTCTTCTGCTAATCTTCAAGTTTTGTTCACTTTGCTTGGTTGAAAATTGATTGGTTTCGATGTAGTTGTACGTAATTTAACCCCAATAATATCTTTTCGACATACGGTTTTGACGTGTAAGTTGTCGAATTTTAAATCCCAGAAGTGCAGGATCTCCAAAGTGAAATAGAATTGAGAAGTTTTTGTGCAGTACACTGAAACAGTTTGTGACATTCCATAAAGTCTTACAAGATTAAAAGGAACCATCTTGGTAAGGAAAGCTTTGAAAGGTGAAAACGGGGAGAAAATACTTATTTTTTTATAAGCCAAAGACATGAAATAACAAAATGACTGAGAAGCTCTGAACTGACAACTGAGGTTGTAAAATAAAAGCAGCTGCTTTTAGCAGCCTTGAGTTCTTGTGGAGTACAAAACTTATAAAAAAAACTAAATGCCTATTATACTATATTTCAGATAAACTAAGTGCTCCCTTAGCATTTAATTGGCTTCTTCCTCCTCCTCCTTCCATCTCACTAAGGACTTGAGAAATTCCATGACCTGCATAAAAATTGCAATGGATTTTTTGAGATGAAATTAAAAATAACACAGCTAACATCCCTCACATATAATACATTATACATATTAAGGATGAGAGTAAAACCTCTGATGGGTCCTTGAGAGAGTAGAAGGCACTGGTTTCTTTTGGACCCGGCGACACCAGAATTCCATAACCACGCTTCTTCTTCTTCTTCAAGAACTGAAACAATGTATGGAGATTTTATATTTAGTGTCAATGTTACAAACTCTTGTGAGTAAGATTAGTAAAAATGCAGAGATGGTAGTGTCACCTTGAATGCATCTTCATCGGTCCTATCATCACCAATATAAATTGGGAGCACATCATCCCTACCATTTAGCCCTGCACCATTTGTCCAGGTTCTCATAGTGAGAATATGTATCATTTAAGAGAGAAAAAGAAGAGAGAGAGAGAGAGAGAGAGAGAGAGGTAGAGGTTTGGTTCACTACCAAGAGATTCAAGCAGAAATTCAACTGCTTTTCCCTTGTTCCAGTCAATAACAGGACGGACCTCTAAAACCTGCAAGAAAAAAACAATGTCCAAATTTATATGTTAGATGGAAAGAATTTGGCTTATTAATGCAAATGATAATAAGATGAAAAACAACAAGATTAAGGCAAACCAGTGAGATTAATTACCTTCCGCCCATGAGTTAATCGTAAACGAGGGTAATCTTTGAGAATATCATGAACAATTTGTGCAATTGTAGACCAATTCTGAAGTCAGAACACATGCCAAAAATAACCAAAACAAGTCAGACAAACTCTTGCAGATGCAATTGTAAGCTTTCTTCTATTCTTCTTTAAGTAAATGCTTACCTTCTCATCTACATTACGGTAATGTACAGAGGCGCAAAACTTGTGATTTTCAACTTTTGCACCTTTGATCCCTTTAGTATTCTCAACGAGGGTTCTAAAAACCTCGTTGATCATAGGTATAAACTCCCTAGCTGGCTGGAAGAGGTTTACCTCCTTACCCTGCCATATCAAAGACAGATAATGAGAACTCAATTGAAAAATATTATACAAGAGTGCAAAGGACTTGTAGAATTTTATTGTCAAGTTACCTGTTGGTCAGTAGATTTCACACAATTTGGATGGTCATTGGAGTCTGTATTAGTGACAGGACCCATTATGTCCATTCCATGACTACCAGCATAGTAAAGTTCTGTTAGTCCTACCAAATCATATACCTGAAACAAATCCGCTCATCAGACGGCCCTAATGACCGGCATTCGAATGGCATCCACACAAGGACCAAATAGACAAGATGAAATTAAACTATGAGTCGGAAAAATAAGAGGGGGAAATGCTGCAGCTACCTACCTTATCGCGGCTTCTTCCACTAATAATAGCAGTTGGAAAATGCTTCGCAACATTTCTTACAGCAGAACGCATCTGGCAACAGTTTCTTTTGGTTTCAGACACAGAAGAGAAATAAAAGTCGAAATTTATAAGCATAAAACAACAAAACACAATTCTTACAGCATTAGACATTATTGCACGGTCAGGGTCATCAACTATCGGGGAAAGAGTCCCATCATAATCTAGAAATATTGCTATCTTCTTGTTCCTTGCAAAATTTGTAATCCGCTCGAATGAATTCAGCGCTGATGGATGCTTAAGCTGCATCATCACAGAAAGCACAAGACGAATAAGTTTGAAGTCATCCAAGAACAAATAGATATAAACTGCAAAGTTATTAAAAGAGAAGCATATATACCATCCAAGAGCAGTAAGCATTATCAACATCATCTGAAGCAACCTCAATATTGAAATCCTTATTGAGCTTCTTCCGGGGAGGTGAAGAGGATTTCATGGCATCAAGCCAACCATTGGACCGAACATCATCGAGCTTTCCTGGCTTTTTCCTTGGGATGTTAATGTACTTGCCAGAGGAGAATGATGCTCCTTGCTGTGAGTATGGCAACAAACTAGAATGGAGGCCTAGTCTTGACTTACTTATCGATGGAGGGTCAGTGAGGACCGGAGCAGCATGATTTGTCTTCAACTCCATCGGATCCAGTTTCGTTGCCAAGTGCTAATCAAAGTGACAAAGTTTTGTAGTTTGTAGTGTTTAATATGAATGGCGCTCTGTCAACAACACAGAGTATGCTCCTAAGTTCAAGAAATATACTTGTTTTAGCCGACCCTTTTGTCAATGAAAAACCACCTCTTCAACGTTTTCTTGTCACTGCTGTTGGGTGAGCAGTCCATTAAGCACGGAGTTCCTCAAAACTGTCATGACATTAAAGCGTCAAATGGAAAGATAAAAAACAACCAGCTTCAGAACATCAATGTCCAAACCAAATTCACACCAAGTGTTCAGAGTCACACCTTCTCATCCCCAGAACAACACTGCATTCATAAAAGGCGGTCAAACATTCTTCGTACAAGGGTCTTCGGGAGGAAAGGATATAGGTATATGGTTTCAAATTGCAGCAAGTTGTACTAAGCCTCTTCCTGCAGAACCATAAAATAAGTGGCTTAAGTATTGGTGTACATGCACATGTAAATGAACATTTGCTTCAAGTTTCAACTACAACACTTGCAAATTGCAATCACTTTTGCCAGGGTGAACTTAAAGCATATCAAAGGGCGGTTAAAATAGTGTTGGCACTCAAAACAATCCAGAAGCAAATGAAAATATACGGTGCTTAAGAGTTGCAGGAACAAGAGACTTTGAAGGGAAGGTAATACTCTATAGGACTCATGAGATCCATATAAATTGACAGAAAACACATGTGACTCTTTACAAGTTACAACCACCCCAAACAAAAACAAAGTCAAACTAATTTGATAATTTATTGATGCAGAAAAGAAGGGGCACAATGCACAATCAATTAATACATAGATTCCTTTCATAAACATAATTAGTCATAGTTAAAAAAATTCTTACGAAAGATTTGGACATAGAGGCTACCTAATTTTTGAGTTTAAACGAAAGACAATAATTACTGCATGCAGGGCAAAGGGATGGTCACGTGTAGTATATATTAGGCCTTTTCTGAAAGACCCCACCATTGAATGCTGGAAATAAACTATACCACAAATACAAGTTTTCTTGGCATTCTATCAACTTATGTTATTGAAATTGAGCAGAAATCATATAAGTTGCTATCTACACAGTATTAGGGGTGGGTTCGGTTTGAATTGGTTTGGTTTTGGGTCCAACCAGGATACCGAACCAATAGCCTCGGTTTGCTAAGAATTGAAATCAAAATCAAACCAATGCGGGTGTAAACCGGTGGGTGTACTGTTCAATTTAATTTTCCAAAAAGATAGCATTAGTATTCTTTCCCAAAATTAAGCTTCAAACAACCAAGATCATTGACTACTTAGCTCTAGTAAATATAGATAAAATAACAATGGAGAAAGAAAAAAAAATCAACCCAAACAGCTATTGATAAAATAAGAAATAGCATTAAAAATGAATCATATATGCAATCAGATAATAAAATACACACACAAGATATAAACCATTAAAATATACACTTGAAGTTAAATGTTCACAACCTATATATAGAGTATAATATTCTAACTATATTTGTATTTTATGTATGCATATAATGCTATATATCATCATCTAGTTACTTTACAGAAGCAAAATATAAGTTGGGCTCAACTGATTTGTCTAGTCCCCCAAAAGCACTTAAATGAAAAGCATTATCGCATGCATATAAATAAAAATTCAACCATACCAAGACAT